TCTGGGCTTTGCAAGATTCTCACATTGTAGTTTGTTATCTACGTGATCTTGGGAAAGCTGGCAAATCCTAACATTTTCTTCATTAGTGTAATTAAGGTAATGTCTGTTGCTGAGGCTGCTATAGGGATTAAATAGCAAGAGAAGCAAGCAGTAAGCACTGGTATGTAAACTAATCCAGATCTATTAGGTTGTGCACCTTGAAGATAAGTTTCATTTCCCTTTCTATTCATAAGTTTTTCTTTTTCTCTGAAGCTGGCTTCTCTCCTTCTTTAGGAGGCGGGAGCAGAAGGCAAGCAGAGTTAAAAAGTGTGCAGTAGTCTTCCATCTCAGTAGGTCGGAGGCCTTGGCTCTTCCCTCCCTGCCCTTTGTCAGTCTGCATGTGCTGAGTAAGGGGCTAGGGTGGAGCCCTGTAAGGAGAGATGCATGTTTAACTCCACCTTGCAGTTATCCAGGCTTGTCATCCCAATGCACAGGTGGAAACCCAATCCCTTCTGGAGCAGGAGCATCTTTAGTGCTAATCCGCGGTCAATGAACTTGTTAAATTAGTGTCTGCTGACACACAGAAGCAAGTGCTCCCTTTTACCTCAGAGGTGTGAGGTGTAATCTGCACATACCCCCAGGGGCACTGGAGGGGAGTGTTCTTTCTCTGCAGCAAGGAGGACTCTTGTGCTGGTGTAGAGGCAGGAGCTCTGACAAAAGCAAGACTTGTTTTCTCCTCACATTTTAAAGGTACAGAGTCTTCTCCTGTGCCGTCTAGGATTTCCTTCACTGGTCATGCTTGAAAAACAGAAAAGTTGTTCTATTAATAGACTAGACTCTATTTTTCATTCTTAACAATAAGCTTTGTGTCAAAAGGGTATTTTTAATTGAAGAACATATGCAATGTGGCATGGAAGAGATGACTCAGTGGACGAAGCACTTGCTGCAGAAGCCTGACGTCCTGAGTTCAGATCCCAGAGCCATGAGAAAGTGTGGATCCCCGGTTAGCACGAATGATAAAAACCCAGAGACAGACAATGGAATTCAAACTGATGATCAGAAAAGCAAAGCAGCCAAGGCAGTGAGTGAGGAGCTCTTACCCCTACCAAAGTTAAGACCAAAGTGTGTCTATCCTGTCCTCAGAATGATTGCAGACTGCAGTGCTCCCCACCAAACCTCAGACTACGTGCTGAACTCCTGTCTTATATTCCTCTCTAGTCCTGGGATTAGAGGCATGCGCCACCACCGCCCAACTTCTATGGCTAAGTAGTATAGCTGCTGGGATTAAAGTTGTGTGCCATCACAGCCTGGCCTCAGTAGCTGTGGCTAGCTTTGTATTCTGATCTTCAGGCAAGCTTTATTAGATCATAAACAAAATATCACCACACCCACCTTGGGGCAAGCTAACTACTGAGTCCAGATTCCCAGAACCATGTAAAAGGCAGGATCTCCAAGGCAAGCTAACTAGCTGGGATTGGCATACTCACAATTCAGAAAGAGATCCTATAAATAGTGGGAAGGAGCATCTGATGTAAGCTTTATGCCTCTATACCACATATAGCTGCATCAAAACACAGGTGAGCACTCGGGTACACACACACACACACACACACACACACACACACACACACACAAATACATGAAATGTCAGCCTTCTGAATTACAAAGGAGTACAAGAGTAAAAATCATGGGTAGTCCATTCAGAGTTAAGTAAGTGTTGAGATGACAGTACTCACCATAATGACCCACCCATAATCAGGCTGTCCATTTGGTTTTGGTTTGTTTGTTTATTTGTTTGTTTGTTTTGGTTGGTTTGGTTGATTTTGTTGTTGTTGTTGTTGTTTGTAATCTACTGTTCAGTGTGACTTTAAAAAGTAAAATGATTACTCAGGGAGTCTAAACTGTGCTTGTTGTAGAAGTCAGGTAGGAAAATTTTCAAGGAGCTCATGTGAACCTGACCCTGTGTGCTCCACAGGGATCTCACTTGAGCTTCCAGAAGAACAGGGGTGAATGGTATGAGACTGCTTCCTATAGTAACTGTTAATACCGACTGATGTCTCACACCAAACATGGCTCATAAAAGGAATGATTGTCTGAAGACTAGGTCTGGTTCAGTTCTGTGACTCATAAACCCCAATTCTCTTGTGTTCTGAGTTGGTCATAACACATACTTAAGAAAATCTAGGAGATGGATTATATGTTCCTTACCCAGTTTTTAGATGACCCCTCCTTTCGCTTGCAGAGGAACCTCCTCAGCTATTTGGGATTAATAGATGTGCTCCAGGGGCATAGCTTTCATTTTTAATCTAAGCCCACACCAGTGTTTACATTTCAAGAGAATGCAGAGTCTGAGGTTGAACTGACATCTTTTGAAAACTGAGTAATCAATAAAGATACTGGCCTCAAGGCCATTGAGCTTGTGACGAAGTGAGGATGCTTCCTAATGAAAAACAGCCTAGCATTGTAAAAACATTTGAATGTGTTTTAATATCCATACAGAATGTAGCATAAACTCCAAAGTCCTACTATCCCCTGCATTATAGTCACAATAAAGTTTATTCTGGAAGTTTCTTTGACCTACACATCCAGATACCTAGCAAGTGGGAAAGCTTAGAGCACTTAGAAAATTTTGTTCAGTTTTGAGAATGTAACTTCTTGATTGATGTTTGGTAAAGTATTTGTCAAATATATACTGAGAAAAATAAATGAAAGAGTTTTCGGAGTGAGAGTATTTATAAAGCTGTCACAAGTGGAGGGATGGCTTACTGGAGGTAACATGTTTATTTACAATAGGTGACACACAGCCGTTCCTTTTCTTTTAGAAATAATTAACAGATGCCTTCCTTGTTAGTCATTGCAAAGCTTTAATACCTGAAGCACTCCCCTGGTCGCCCTGAAGCTTTAATAATAGTAAACTACTTACCCTCAAACAAAGCAGAGTCCCATGTACAAAAAAACATCAAATTCTTAATAAACAGGCTAAGAAACAATAAAACAAGGAAATACTTTCTTATGCTTCACAGGAAAAAAAAGTTTAATTCACAACAATGTTTTCTGCTGCCTGACTCTTGCAGAATTGAGGGCTGGGTCTGAGTTAATGCTCGTGTTTTTGCTAAGAAAATTAGTATGTGGATTTGGACATGTTGGTACCAGATTATTGGGAGCAATGACCAAATGTTTTTTTCTTTCTCTCTCTCTGTGTGTGTGTGTGTGTGTGTGTGTGTGTGTGTGTGTGTGTGTGTGTAGTGTGCATGAGTATGTGGATACATGAAGTCATGTGTGACTATGGAGAAGTCAGAAAGACATTGGCTGTACTCAATCATTCTCTACTCTATTACCTTGAGACAAGTTCTCTCTTACTGAACCAGAACTCACCTTCCCAGCAAGGCCGACCAGCCATAGAGCTCTCAGGTCTCCCTGCCCCAAACTTTACTTAAAGGCTCATGCAGCCACACCGTGTGAGATAGCTATTAAATGCGGATTTGTGTTTTCAAGGGGTAGAAGCTGCTCTGCGTGATGTCCATTGTCATGACATCCTGTTACTTCTCTGCCTAGAAGTCCAGTGCTGCATGCTTGACAGCAGTCTCCTGCGGTTGTCCTGTGATGCGGGTTGACAGTAGTGAGATAGAAAGCAGTCTGGGTGGACTAGAGCAACACATGGGGAACTAGATGTATCAGCCCCTCGTTTTGGCTCAGTCAGTAATTGTATGACGTTTGACATGTCTTTTGAATACTCTTTGGCTGTGCCACTCCATTTGTTCAACTGAGTTCATAATAATTGCCCTGGTCTATCTCACAAGAATGTTGTATGAACAAATTAGATAAGTGTAAAAGTGCCTCGGAGGTAAAGCCATTTTATGAATAAAAATTAGTGTGATGTAGCTACTGAGAAGTGTGTTACAGAGGCTAGTCTGCTTCATCTCCAAAGGCTTCTAACTAGATAAGGATTCATAATGGCTTCCTGTTATGTGAACCAAGCACATCTTATCAGTCATGACTATAGTATTTAGGGGGGAAATCTCTATACAAACATTTGTTGCCTTGATAAAAATACACATTAAAATCAGTCTCAACTGGCCATGGTGTAGTTCATACTTATAATCCTAAGCACTTGGTAGGCCGAGGCAGGGAGGATCATGACTTTGAAACTACCCAGGACTGCAGATTCAGTTTCAGGCCAGCTTAGGCTACAAAGTAAGATCTTGTCCCTCCCTCACCCCCAAGTCTGTCAGATTTAGAGAAGAGGAAGGAGGGATTGGCAAATGTTGGATATAAAACTTCAATTAGGCAAAATGCATGATGTCTGGAGATTACTGTAGAACATCAGACTGTGTTTGGTAGCATTGTCATGCATAGTTAAATACATTTTGAGGTTAGATCTCATGTTTAATGCTCTTAATGAAATAAAATTTAAATTAGCCATATTTGAATGAAATAAAAGCCTCTCAACTATCTTCATACAACTGATAATATATGACTCAGTTTCTGGATAATTTAGAAGCTGGATTTGAAACATTTAATAAAGTTGAGAAGTAAGCATATGACATCATATGTAGGGAAGAAAGACTGAGGCTTCTCAGGAAATCATTATTCTTAAGGATCTAACCTTGCCAAATTGAGGGGTTTTTTTTTCAGCTTTGCTTCTGCCTTAAAACATGTGTTGGGCTGGTGCTTCTTCTCCATTACAGTTAGCATTCCAGCGCCCGGCTAGCATTCTCATTCTCCGTCATGATGATGTTCACAGAGTGACTGACTGTAGCTCAGTTCAGACGGGCCCTAGCTCCCAGGCAAATGGAAAAGAGGAGAAAGGGGCTCGCTACAAGGATCCAACGAGCACTATTATCTCTCTTCCCCTTTCTTCTCACACACAGTCTCTGTAAAGGTTGACAGTGCCACCGTGCCCAGTCCTGAAGAAGGGAATCATGCAGACGCTTACCTAGACAGACATGAGAAGAGGTTCTCTCTAGGACAACACTAGATGCTTCCATCTCTGAGTCAAGTTGGTCTCTTTCCTTTGGCAGGGGACCGTTCCTCGTGGCTCTGGGGAAGTCTTGGCACCCAGAAGAATTTAACTGTGCTCACTGCAAAAACACAATGGCCTACATTGGATTTGTTGAGGAGAAGGGAGCACTGTATTGTGAGCTGTGTTATGAGAAGTTCTTTGCTCCTGAATGTGGCCGGTGCCAGAGGAAGATCCTTGGCGTGAGTGTTTGAAACTACTTCTTCATGTGTAGTGCGTCCTAGAGCCGTGGAGATTTTATAATAAATCTTTTCGTTATTTTTACTTTGTATTTTCTTCTTGCTTTATCAATGCTTTCTGCTTTTGTTAGTTGTGTTTATTATAAAACAAAACTGAACAGACCTTTAAGGAAGTATATAAGACTCGTGGGGTTAGCTGCCTTTGGTTTTGTCTTACTGAGGGCTGCCATGTCTGGTGAAAGTCTAACCTCTATAGGAAAAATAATTTACTGTGGGTGTGCTACCTCAGCAGGACCCTGTTTGCTCAGGAATGAAGAGGTCGCCCAGGACCACACACACAAGCTTTCGGGACTGACACCTTTGCTGGTTTAAATTAAATTCCATAGTTTTTATAAGAGCAGCCTTTCCCTACTTGTCAGAGTTCAAACACAGGACACTGATCTAATGAAATATACAAAATTTGTAAAATGTGAAGCTTATAATATTTTTATTTGAATGAATAAATAATGTTTAAAACTGTGACTTCAGTTATAAACATGTGCATTTGATAGGAAAAACGTTTCAAGCTATACTTTTTGGCAAAAGAAAAAAACAGTGAATACATGTCTATCATGTTATAACATCCAATTTTCAATGATATTGAAGGTTCAGGTAACTACTATAGATGACCAGTAGTGGAGATAACTTTGATTTTAGATGAAACCAGTGTTCTTGACTTTAACATGTACAAGTTGGAATGCCTTTGCTTGATTCTACCTCAATTCTCAATTTGAAAATATAGAAATGAAATTGTAGAAAAATGTGAATTATGGATAACATGCTTAAGTAGGTCTGAAACATTTAAAAATAGTTTCGGTTATAAATATGCTACCTGACCAATTTCTATGTTATTAATTTGTACATTATATTGGCCATAAAGGAGTATAATGGCTAGCCTATCCATAAGTGCTGACAAATAATCAGTTAGTAGACTATATGTCAACTTAACATTTAGTGATTAAGCAGTCTGTGGACTGGAGAATAATTAATAAAAGTAAAGAATGGCAAAAGCTATAAGACTCTAGGAAGTGAGAGAATTCCCATATTATTAAATATTCTTCAGAAATTTTTTCTAATTGCTTTCCTTCTTCTTAATAGAATCCTTAGAACAATTCTTGAAAAACTAACAACCCCAAACCTCTTACTGATTAAATCTCTTCCAAGTCTTGCATCTTGGAGTATTTAACAGGACTAGGATCCTTGCTTCTGTGGTTCACACTTTACCCAGTGGAGTAAGTGCATAGTACACTCACAGCTGATTCCAAAAAGCTAAACACTCGATGAGCCGATTGGATTATACTGATTACATTATTGCCTCCATAATGCACTAGAGTTCAGGTTTGTTTTAGTTTTTAAATGCTTTCTCTTCCTTCATGACATTTTCAAGATAATGCCATGAAAGTTTTTTAGGTTAATGCATCCTGACGCCCTTTGAAAGAAAGCAGAATGTGGTGGCAAGCCTTTCTGCAACCTTTCCCTTATGCGTGCATGTATAGTTAGTAATAGCAATTACTCTTTGTTTATGGATTTGTATTTATGAAAAGCACACGTATTACAATAGCTTTTGGTGACGTGTGATCTTCCACTAAGCATCTCTTGTTTCTTAGATGAAACTTCAAAACAAAGAAGAAATACATGCGTCTACATTGAATTAGTGTGGTTCAACTATGAGAGTAGGTATTGGTGTGTTTACTGTCATCTTTGAATCCTTCTGCATTTCTGTAACAGGAAGTCATCAATGCTTTGAAACAAACCTGGCACGTGTCCTGTTTTGTGTGTGTGGCCTGTGGAAAACCTATCCGCAACAACGTTTTCCACTTGGAAGATGGAGAGCCATACTGCGAGACTGGTGAGATAATAAGCCATTTACTTAGTTAAGAATGAAGTAAAACACATTTCTGTACAATTGAAGGGAAAGTTTAGGCCAACAAGGTTTCCTTTATTATTTTAGAGGTATTGTATATTACTCTGAATATATAGCAAAACAAAAATAATAGTATCTGTTCATGACTTTGTCAAAATGAACATTTCCAACTTCATTTTATGAACATTAAAGGTTAGCATTACTTAGTAGGAAAAACATATTCAAATCTCCAATCATTTAAAGATAAATTCTACCCGATATGTACTGTAAAATCACCTATTGTGGTAAAGAATATCCAATGGTTATAAACATGAGAAATGTTCAACATTCAAATGTTACCACTTTGCTTTTTAAAGTCGCAACCCTGAAAATAAATGTGAAATTCTTTGCTATCTCTACTGAATAGGAAATCATTCCTGGCTCAGATTGCTCCCTAGTGAAGATGTTTTTAATAATTTAGGTTCCAAAAGCCTGTCTACTCCCTTTGCGTTGTTCCTGAACACCCAGCACTTCCTTTTTCTTTGCCACATCTGCACGTGAGCTTTCTTACCATTTACTCAGATACAGCTTCCACAACGGCTATTTCAAAATATCAAACACGCTTTACTTTATTCTGCCTCTACTAACTGCCGTTAACTGACTTCCCACTATTGAGTTTTACTCTTGTTTTAGATTGAAATTCAAGTGCGGTCCTAGAAGAAGGGATGTGCCCAGTGGTAAAGTTCAAGAGACCATCAGCTTTCGTCTGAAGCTGGTTCAGCATCACTTACCTCTTTGCTCACTCGGTGCTCTGATTTTCACCTTCCCCTTAACTCCTTAGTAAGAAGGGTTTGGCTCTATTCCAGATTGCTCACCAGGAAGCCCCAGAACCTCCAATAAAATGCCCCATGTGTTGTTAGCAGTGTAAGTTGGCTGTAAACTTCCTACCATCTTCAGAGTATCTCATGTTCTGCAGCTTTTTTTTTTTTTTCTGGAGAGAGACTTGGTTTTTGTTTAGTTGGTTGGCTGTTTGTGAGGTTTTTTTAGCAGCTTTGTAAGACATTCTGACTAACTATGCAAAAATATAAACATCTATCTAACCTGAGATGTTTAATGTGTTTTTAAAAAAATCATGAAATAAAAGTAATACATTGATAGTAGAGGGGAATCATGGTCTAATTTTTATTATTTTTTCCTTAACCTTCAGCCATTTGGTTTATTTTTTCAATTATTTTCAAAATTTTAATAATTTTATTACATGAAGTACATTTTATTTACATGAAGTAAATTTACATTATAGGTTAAACATAAGTCTGATCATTGCTCATAGCTTTTTTTACATTTTTTATTATATATTTAAATTAGAAACCAGCTTGCTTCCCATGTCAGTCCCAGCTCCCTCTCCCTCCCCTCCATACCCACTCCCCCCACCAGCTTCCCCAGCCCCCCACCCAATCCCCACTCCATTCTCCAGGGAGGGTAATGCCCTCCATGGGGGATCTCTAGAGTCTGTCATTTCATTCCTGGGAGGGCCCAGGCCCTCCCCAAAGTGTCCAGATTGAGAAAGCATCCCTCATTGTGGGATGGGTCCCCAAAGTCCATTTGTGTGCCAGGGATAAATACTGATCTACTACCCCAAAACCCCATAGATTACCCGAGTCTCCTCACTAACACCCACATTCAGGGGGTCTGGATCAGTCGCATGCTAGCTTCTCAGCCATCGGGCCGGGGTCCAAGATCTCCCCCTTGTTCAGGTCAGCTGTTTCTCTGGGATCCACCAGTCCAGTCTTGACCCCTTTGCTCATCACTCCTCCCTCTCAGTCACTGGGTTCCAGGAGTTCAGTTCAGTGTTTAGTTGTGGGTATCTGCCTCTGCTTCCATCTGTCACTGGATGGAGGTTCTAGGATGGTATGTAAGACAGTCGTCAAACTCATTATTAGGGAGGGACATTTAATGTAGTCTCTCCACTACTGCTTAGTTTGCCAGTTGGTGTCATCCTTATAGATCTCTAGAGATCTCACTAGTGCCAGATCTCTCCTCAAACCTAGAATGGCTCCCTCTATTAAGGTATCTCTCATCCTGCTCTCCTCTATTCTTCCCCCAACTCAACCTTCCTGCTCCCCCATGTCCTCCTCTCCCTTCCTCTTGTCTCCCTCTCTTTTTCCTGGCTCCCTTTCTCCTCCCCCACTGTGTGCTCCCGATCTGATAGTACCTCATTCCACCTTCTCTGGGGTACCTTGTATATCTCTATTAGGGTCCTTCCTGTTTCCCTGCCTCTCTGGCAGTGGGATTGTAGACTGGCACTCCCCTAATTCATGTCTAAAAACCATATCTGAGTGAGTACATACCATGTTTGTCTTTTTGTGACCGTGTTACCTCACTCAGGATGGTTTCTTCTAGTGCCATCCATTTGCCTGCAAATTTCAAGACTCCATTGTTTTTTTTTCTGCTTAATAGTATTCCATTGTGTCAATGTACCACATTTTCTCTATCCACTCTTCAGTTGAGTGGCGTCTAGGTTGCTTCCAGGTTCTGGCTATTACAAGTATTGCTGCTATAAACATAGTGGAATTGCTGGGTCTTGTGGTAGAATGATTCCCATTTTCCCAAGGAATCTCCATACTGATTTCCATAGTGCCTTCAGCCATTTCTTAGCAATGTTCCCATCTCAGTAGATGGCTGCACTGTCCACTGTCCAAACGTCCAGGATTCCTCTTTCTCGTTCTTCCAAAACAGAATTTTAACAGGTTGATTCCTAGCAATTCTACCTCCAGTGGATATTGGAAAGGCATCCCTGCCCATCTGCAGTGTGGCCACTATGCCCAGATTGTTCTCACTCTTCGCCTGGATTCCCCAATAGCAACTGCAGAGAAATCTGTACAGTGTCAACCTTGGCAGTCAGATTGTGCTCGTATTCTGCAAATGGAGTCCACTAGAATAAGAACATCCTCCTTGCCAAAACCCTCCTTGCCAGACTTATCTCCTGCCTCTTTACATTCTGACACTAGATTTAGCCCATATCTTATCCCTTTATTATGTCTAAACATGGCCAGGATTTTATTTCTGACTCCAGGGCCTTCATACTTAAAAGTTTCATCTAACTAGAATGTTCACCATGTAATTCCTCCTTGTTCTTCAAGTCTCATGATGACTGTTACATACCAGAGAAGGTTTTCCTAACCCTCCTGTAATGTAGTGTGTGTCCCTAGTTACTCCATATCACAGCACTGGTTGTGGCTTCATTGTACACAGTCTTATCCAGAGCCCCATGAGGCGAGCATCGTCACCTGTGCGTTTTCCCTGTCCACCTCCGTGCTGCCTGGAGCACTGCCTGCTAGAGTCTGTGGAGGTGTATTCAGCTAAAGAGTGTTTGCATCAAGCTGCATATTATAGACTCCCTCCCCTCCAACTATGGCTGGATTGACATTTTTAAAGGCCAAAAGTTGGCTCATAGGTCAACACAGCAGTGATAAAGTTGAATATTTTTTAATAATAGAAAAAGGACAAGGAAACTGTCATCAGAAGGGAATTTAGAGCTAATTAGTTGTCAAGTTACTTGTGTTGTCTGACTAGAAAATTTCCGTGTGAAGTCATAAAATTAGAAGCAAAATATAACAAAAGAAATGGAGGCTGGTTTTATTGGCATAATCCAGCTAGGAGCTCGGTCACAGTCCTTATTTGTGAAAGTGTCCTGAAACCTGCATTTGAAAGCTAACCAATGCCATTTGCCAAATTTGTTCTCAAATTATATTAACTAGGCTCATTGTTGCAAATGATTGAGAGTCCTCTTACCGTACCTCGACACATCCAAGTGTACTGAACACTACATACAACAGTGGTCTCCTGTTCATGCATCTGGGCATTTAAACAGAGAATGGAACACAGGGAATATAATAAAAAAATTAAATGTCATAATAATGTTTCCTGTGCTGAACATACATGCCAAACGAGGCAGTGGTTCCTTTGTGGAAATTGTCCTGTTTCCCATCCAGTCCAGTGAGGAAAGCCAACCAAGCTGCCCCACCCAGTGGATGTTGTATTCCTCACTTCCATGCCAGTCTTAAACTTTGTGTCTCATTTAACTCCCATCTTAGCACTGTTTCCTGTGAGCTGTCCTTCCAAAGCCTCACCATGTTTAAATTACATCTCTTTCCTAACCTGATGCAGATTATTATGCTCTTTTTGGAACAATATGCCGTGGATGCGAATTCCCCATAGAAGCTGGTGACATGTTCCTTGAAGCTCTGGGCTATACCTGGCATGATACTTGCTTTGTATGCTCGGTAAGTAAACTGTACTGTCCTGGTTGACGCCTAGTGCTTAATGGAAGTAACAGCATTTCGGTCTTTCCCTTCCTCAAAACCAACCAACACTGTTTTTCAATGTTCTTAAAAGTTAGATTTGACATATAATAAGGTCTTACTCCAGAGAAAATATAACTTTTAATACATCCATATCCTTAAGGAGATTTTTGCTTTTTTAAAATGAGTTCTTACATTTCTTTCTTAAACCAGTTTATTTTTGACACATTGGATATTTCTTAAATAAAAAACAAATTATAAAAACTGGGGTTCCAGAAAAATGGCTCAATTTTCTTCCAGACTGAGACATAGCTTATGAATTTTCTTTTCTTTTTGAAAATGCAAAATAACTTTACCTATTGTACTTGCTACTTTAATGCTCTTGGTTTTGGTTTTATTTATTATTGATGTATATGTGTGTGTTTCTATGTACATGTATGTGTTTATATGCTTGTGGGGACTGAAAGACAACCTCAAGTGTAACCCTCAGAACACTGGCCCCCTCCTTTGAGACAGGGTTTCTCATGAGTCTGGAGCCCGTCAACTGGGCTAGATGGGCTAGCCAGCAAGCCCCAGGGGACCTCTTGTCTTCACCTTCCCAGCCTTGGAGTGACAAGCAAGCATGTACCATGACACCCAGTGTTCGTACATGCTTCCTGGGAATCAAACTCAAGTGCTTTATTGACTGAGATACCCCAACAGCTGCTTGCAGAGACTTGATCTCACTGTTTAGCTCTGGGTGATCTGGAACTTACAATGTAGATGAGGCTGACCTTGAACTCAAAGAGATCCACCTGCCTCTGCTTCCTGAATTCTGGGACTAGAGGTGTGCATCACTGTACCTGGCCTTTTGATTTTTACTGTTAATGATTAAGATAAGTCAAAAGATTAACATTAACCTAAGATAATTTTTATAATTTAGGAAGCTAATATTCAGTAATGTTGTTCCGTCCAGTACTTGATCTCTGTTACTGCTGTTAGAGTTAATATATCCAGCACTGTTTGATGCCCATTGCATAAAAAAATAGATAATAGTGAAATCTAACGGTTTCTGCACACATTACCTTTGAGCACTTCTTTTTCTCACTTCATCTTTTAGACTTCCTAAAGTTTATAAAAGCAGCTTTTACACATTTACCTTCTTAGGAAAACCTTCCCGTGAGATTGTCATTTGCCAGGCAGCAGAAACAACAGGCAGGCAAAAGTGTGGGTGGCCTCACCACAAAACCTCTCAGCAGGCAGCTCCTGCCCAGGATGTTCACTGTAGAATCAACTTAAATCAGTTCTTTCATGAATGAATGGTTTTATCCAGGAAGTAAATTAGAATCAGCCTATTGGGACTGGAGAGATAGCTCCATGATTAAGAACACTTGCTGCTCTTGCAGAAGGCCTGAGTTTGGTTCCCAGGGCTCTCAGTGCATTTGGCCTCCCAAGGCATCTGCCCTGAAATGCACATACCATACTCAGACTCATACACTTAATAAAATATAAATTAAAAATACTAATCTGTGCCCAGTGTACAACAGGACAGAGTGACATTGGGTTTGGCCATGCTTGGCAAAGCAGCTGAGCTATTTCTTTTTGATTCTTTAATTCTTTGTAAAAGGAAACATTCAAAAGATTGACTAGAATTTGTATTTGATGTATTAAAGCTTTCATTAGAACTAAGTGCTTCCCTCTTGCTAGAGAAAAGCCATCATTGGTAATTTAAATAAATCAGACTATGTTCCAGAAAAAAGGTCATTGCTTTTCCAAGAAGTCATGAAATGTCATAGGAATCATGATGTGTCAGGGTCTCACTCAGTGGTCTAAGGAACATGTGATGTTACTCGTTCAGGACAGTCACTCCCCTTTGGGAGATCTGATGTAAATGATGACACTCTTGTAAGCAATGCTTCTCTTTTGCAGGTGTGTTGTGAAAGTTTGGAAGGGCAGACGTTTTTCTCAAAGAAGGACAAGCCGCTTTGCAAAAAGCATGCTCACTCTGTGAATTTCTGAAAAGTCAACGGTTCCAGGAAATGGGAGAAATTTGAAGAAAAGGGGGGAACTAAAATTACCGTTTAATTTTTAGTTTTAATATTTATATGGAGTTCTAAAATAATAGTAGCCCTGAATGGATAAACTCTAACATTAAAGCCAAGTCTGTGAGAAAATGTTTGGCTTCAGAAAGTCACAGACGGTTTGGGATTTATTATGACTAGCCTGTGTTTTTTGCCCATGAAGTAGCCTTTATAAGAATCAATTTCCTGACTACTAAATTCATCTTAGAATAAATTAGCAAAGGATTACATTTTTGAATTACAAATCTAGCCTCTATGCTGAAATGATTATTTCTTTCCTTTTTGGGTAGCTGTAAGAATCCACAGAAGGCAATAAAAGTGCCTTAAACTTTACAAATAAGAATAATTGTTTAATAAGCCCATTCTATCTGTATAATAATAAGTAGGAGTTTAAATAAATTTCATGAGTAGGTGGTATCTTTTTCTTTGGTCTTATCATTGGTCCTTTCAGTAACACAGTCCAAGGAAGTTTTTGATCAAAGTGTGTCATGCCCTAAGAGATGCTGTGATCTCTTATGTTCTTCCAAAGGCTGCCATGTTGCTTAAAGGTCACAAAGGCTGATCTCCCTTCGGATGGGACACTTTGTGTGCATTGTGTGTGGCTCACCTCCTGGGCCAGCCTGCCGTGCCTCTCATCTCTTATGCTGAGCTGAAGATAATTCAATAATGTTAGACTCTAATGGTTTCTCTACCCCCCCATCCCCCAGAGAGTAGGTAGAAGATAAAGGAGCTAGAAATTGGGAAATAAAGCAACTGTACCTGGAAAGTAAAAAGAATCACTTCCCCTTTCAGATAATGAACTGCTTAGTTTTTACAGTTGTGTCACTGACTGAAGATTTAAAAACTCTTTGCCCAGTAATGTTTTTTGGATTGAGGATTATGATAAGATTCAAGTTTGTGTTGTTACTGTGTTTTTTGCTTATTTGGAGTTGTTCTGGGGTTTTGTTAGTTTGCTGGGTTTTGTCTGGGATTCTTTTCTATCAGTAAGAAGTAAATCCCCTCCAATTGTGTGACCATGGAGTTAGGCAACTTTTCTTCTCTGGCCTTTGGTAATACAGGGCCAACCATAATCCATTACTCACATTGTGCTGTCATTTGCTCTCCACGATTGGGCCGAGCATTGTAGTCAGCAAAGTGACTGTTAGAAAGCCATGCAGTGTGGCTCACTGCCCAATGAGAAGACAAATCATGGCATTTACTACTTCTCTCTTTGTTTCTACAATGAAGGAAAGCCATGATCCTTCTGAGTTATAGCTATATCTGTTGGGAGCATGGTGCTCCCAAAATTCAGACAGGGTGCCCCAGTTCTTGCTGCCCCATCTGTCAAGAGCACCTGCTGTGCATCCATTTGTGTGTGTGTGTGTATTTGTTATACAGGAAGTCTTTGGCTATAGGATTTGTTTAACCTGCCTAAGAACTTTCCAGGTATCTGTCCTAAAAGCTGCTAATTTATGCTCTAGTAAATTTATGTTGTTATGCAGATAATCTCGAACTGGGGGATAAATGAACAGGAAGGGTGACACGCATCACAAACTGGAAGCTTCTCCAGCAGCATCCCAGACTACCTCCTCACCTGTGCTTGTAGGGAGGCAGAGAATGTCTTCAGAAGTCCGTGCTAGAACTTCGTGCATTAGATCTCATGGCTGTGTCAGTGACCAATAGCAGACTCGCGGACTCGGGTGCATTCCTTCTGATCTGAATGTCCAGCCTTGGCTTTGTACCACAAAATAAGCTGGTGATTTTTTTTTTTTGATGTGCAAGTTTTGGTTTGTCTTTTAGATGATATGCCATGATATAATTTGACAACTCACTGGTGTTTGCATATTCAAATAATTTTTTTGACTTGGATTTCTTATGAAGTTACCTTTCTTTAAGGATCTCATTGTTATTGAACCTTTATTTCTCTCTTCTTTGTGGAATATAATGCTGCATTTTATAATCCTGTATGTCTCTAAATTTAATTCCTAAAAGGCTAGTGTGGCTTGCTAATTTGACATTGTGTCTTTATTCTTTGCCTATCATGTTGTATGGCAAGTTGTGTATCTGTTCCTAACACAGTAGCTCCTGGGAGATGAGTTCTCCCCATAACCAGAAGTCTGTCTGCAGTGAGACTCGGCTTGCCTCGTTAACCAGCATGGAGCTTTCAGTACCTGGCACAGCACTTTACTCTTCTGGCGAGTTCCCTGAGTATTTATTATAAGTCTTCTGTGTCAGTAGCGTTTTTCTCATTATTATTGTAGAACATTGAATTTTTCTCATGCTAGATGTATATTTTGAAGACTGTACTTCATAAGCCCCATATGAAAACAATAGTATATGATTCTTAATGTGCCTTATTCGATTTCTCATTTTTGAGAGTTTGGTGGGCCCATATAGATACCATTTCTCTAATTGTTCTGGATGACTGTTACCTGTTGAGGTAGCCATCTTTGCTTAGCAACTTCATGTTTCCCATTGGTAGGGTTACCTTCACCATGTAAAGCTAAAGCCTAATTATTTGGCCCTTATTAAAACAAAAGTAATCATTTATTTTTCAAATATTGATATAAAACTGTGTTTAAAATTATCTACAACAGAATATACTCCTTTCAAGGAACCCTAGGCTAGGAGCGCTTCCATAGAAAAGTAATTGCTGCAGTGTGAATCCAGTGTTACATTAATATTTTTTGGCATTTGCAGTTCAGTCATCTTTGGAGCGGGGAAAACAGAAGGTAGTTTTACACAAATGTACGCTCATTTCAGCCTGTCCCTCACCTCCAGATGTCTAAGTTATTGGATCTAGACACTTAATATGTAATTGGCCATGCCTGCCAATTATTGTCTTTTGTTTCCTTGCATTTTTCAGTTTGTGTGTAGCTGCTCTTTTGCTTTTGGATATGTTTCCTAATTAAAAAAAAATCACACGAGAACTATAATCTGTATAGTGATACCTAATGAACTCAATAAACAACTGCAGTGATGTCAACACACATGCTTGATCTTTCTCTCTGGGTGGTATGTGGTTTCACTTAAGTGAACGTGGAGAAAAGTCACATTCCATCCTCACGGGACCAGAGGAGGTGTGTTAACCCCTCAAGAGCCTCTGCCACAGGATTGACCAACCCCAATGCCCCAGAAACAGGACATTTGAAGATACTACATTACTATTAGTTAGTTACCTTTTGTGCTTTGCATATATAACATATGTAAGACATGTTTGTAAGTTAGTAGATGAGCTGTCTTTAAATATGCTTATTGCTGACATTATTCATTGGAATGGCCTAGTTTCATGTCTTGTTATGTCACAGATCATAAGCAGAGAGCAAATTCCCTGCTCTTTTCATTTGGCATGAGCCAGGATATGTACAGCCCAGTTCAGTCTCATTAGCTGGCTGGCCATTACGAGGTAGGCTCACACACCTCTTGCTCATTTGTTTATCAGCTTGAGGGAGATTTGTTTTCTAACTGTATAATTAAAAGGGATGTCTGTGTTTCGGGCTGTACTTTGGGGATGGGAGAGAAACTCAAGTCTATTTTGCCCACAGTATATTAAACTCCAGAAGCCAAACTTTTAAGGGCATCGAGTCTGCATCTGACATTTTAATAGCTGCTGTTTGGTTTCTGTCAATCACGTCATTGCACGTTAAAATGCACCGACAGAATAAGAGATCTGTCATTCCTTCGTTAAGAAACAGTAATCCAGTACAAGATTTATAGGCTCACGTCTCAACTGTGTGTTCACAATAAACCCCCCTTGAGTGCTGAAACCAGAGCAAGCTTCCTGCCAGTCAGTGTTTTTGACTCACATGTCCCCAATAGAAGATTATCAAAGGTTTTGTAACTCAACTACATATAAAAATCCTTTGGCCAGCAAAAGCTTAATTTAGGTTGGCAGTTTCCCTTTCTGAGTACTCTCAGACAAGATCTTGGTTATATCAGAAACACATAGGCACTGATGTATTATTAGCAGGCCTGGTGTTAATTAGGGAGAATTACCAGAAATAGTTTGCCTTGTGGAAATTTATTACAGAATCACACTTGACTGATGGCAGAATAGGAGTTGCTGAGAGAGAGCAGCTCCCACTCATAACCACTAATTAATAGGGTGCCAAAATTCCGCAGAGAAGGTTTCATCCCAAGTGTGGGAGCCTCACAGGGAAAATGGTTCCTGTGCAGTACTTAAAATTTAACAGAGGAAAGGAACCGGACACATGGCTACCTAACAGAATAGCAGGCTGTGGGGGCATGGGCTGTGTGAACGAGAGGGCTTAACTCAGTGAGTGCCGAGCTCCAGAGTGGCCTGTGAATACGAAAGGGTTATACATTGTGTTTTGTTTCCTGACTGGATCTCACGATGTAGTCCAGGCTGACTTGAGACTTGAAATTCTCCTTCTCCCTCAGTCTCCTGAGTCCTGGGATGTCATGCTTACACCATAATGCCAAACTCATGCATACTGTTATTTTTAATATGGCAAGTATCTGCTTCCTACGTTCATTTTATGATGAGAACTTGGTGCTCACCATGTTGTCTGTGGGATGTCATTGAGTTCCTATTCTTCATTCCATAATTTACAGGCTGTCTATATAGGTGGCGGGATCACACAGTGCTTAATAAGAAAGGTGTGGCTCCTACCCTTGAGTGTGGAGTAGGAGGGGAACAAGGTGCATCTGATGACTGGCTAATGGTGGAGCGCTGGGGGAGCCCTCCTAAATTACAGCTTGCCAAGAAATCAATTTTTTTTCCTGTCTGTAACTGCATGTAATTATACACAATAAAGCTTGGAGCCGTTGTTGAGTGTAGAAGGATAAAACATTTCCATGTCAGAAAACCACTGATCACTGACCTCAGGGAGAAAAAATAAAATGATTTACAATTCACAGAGGGGGCTAATTCTTCAATTTCTCAATTATGGTAAATGCAGTTCCCAAGGAAAACAACTTCTGTGCCAGGCCCAGATATGATTGACAGTCTCTTAGGCGTTCATGTTTCAAAAGACAGTTTCTGTCTGTGTCCAAAGTGTTCTAATTTGATTCCAAGATAGTTTTTCAATTTCATATTCTAAACTCATATTTTCCCCTAATTCAAATACAACTTTTTTTTTCTTCTCTTCCCCTCCCCCACCTTTTTGTCTTTACTTGTCCCCACACACACAGCTGGTGCCCTTGTAATTGACACAAAAGTCTCTCTGTGTCCGGTATTGAGATCAGCTCTGATACCTTACAGTGTCCCTTGTGCTGACGCTAGCGTATCACTAATAACCTAACTTTTCTCTAGGTCAGTGGCAAAGTGGATGGCGCTCCAGTGACGTCATAGCTCATTGGTTTTGACATAAATAAAACTCTTCTTTTGTGAAGCCCTATGTTGACGTCATCCTGACTCCGGACACATTGAGCATGTTTGCTTGAGAGTGCTTTCAATTTCCACCCTGAAAGAAGTAGAGACCCAACATGGAGCTTTGTAACTGTAAACTTGACTGTCAAATTGATTCTGTTTCAGCACTTGACACTTGTCATTCATTCTGCTCTGTTAAATTATTATGCTACTCCTGAAAGGTTTTTTTTTAATTTTTAATTTTTTGGTACCATTTTAAGTGTTTTGAATTAAAAAGATTTTAACCAACAGTTTTGGAGGCACTTCATTCTTAAGGAAGGAATCTAACCCATGTACATCTAACTTGGCCTGCTTGTTCCTGATCTTACAAACTTTGATGCCTTTTAACAAAGCCAACATAGATTATAATAGTATAAATTAAAGCCAAAGGCAACATGTGTCTGTGTCTCTCTGTTACATTAGTCTGGGTCCAATCAGAACAGGAACCACATAGCAATTTCATAGAAGTTAAGGAACTTGGTTTAATTAATTATTAAACAGATACAAGATAGCAAAATAATGTTGCAAATACACAGACAAGTCTAGAGGGCTCAGTAAGTACTTGACACAGAAAGGAAAACCCAAGTACAGAACCATGTAGAAAAGTGTAGAGCAGGTTCAAAACTGTAACTCCACACTGAGGAGAAAGGTAGATTTCTGAGGCATGCTGGCCAGCCAGCTTGGCCTCATCTACAGTGGGAGACCCTGTCTCAGATCATGTACCCAGGACTGTAACAGACATATACAAAAATAAATTAAAAAGTTGATAGCTGGAGACTGAGATGAAGGGCAGCTGGAGGAGACCCTGTCCCTATGGGGAGGGCTCATACCTTGTTGGAGACAGTGGTTTCAGTCCACCAAATGACAGATGTTCTCTGGGTTGCTGAAGCCAGAGCTCAACCTCAATTGGAAGCACCAAGTTGGGTGGATGCTCAAGGGGCTGGGGTGCTACTTGGGGCACAGGCCTGGAATAGGGAGTAGTGTGGCAAGAGGCCACTGCAGGCTGTAACGGAGCCCAAGTCGGGGACGTGACCTCCTCAAGGGTGTGCACTCCAGATGCAAGGTTGGGCAGTGCACCATCGCATATTCCCCTCACACATGCAGCACATTGGACCACGCAGAAAAGCAAAATGCAGCATCCGAAACCAGAACTGCTCCTTGCTGCCTCAGCATGCTTCTTAGCACGACAAAGCTTGATGCCATGACTGCACCAAAGGAGAACTGTTTTGAGTCCAGTCCAGTGTCCTAGAGCAAACACTGAAAGGGAAATTTGGAACTGGAAGTCGATAAAGTTAGTAACTGACACTGGATTCAAAGGAAAACAAAACTCTCCACTAAACTGACTTCCATAACACGGAACATTGTGCAAACTGAGGCTGGAGCTCAGTAGTTAAACACTTAACCTAGCATACCAAAGACCTGGGCTTAACATTGTCGCAGAAACACAGCTGAACAAGGAATTCTAGCCTGGTGTAGGAGTTCACAACTGGAATCCTGGCACTCAGGAGACTGAGGGAGAATTGCCATGATTTTAAGAACAGCCTATAATAGTGTAACCTTATTCTAGGCCAACCAGGCTGCCATAGAGTAAGACCTTATTTAAAATGAATAAATATAATACATAATAATAATAATAATAAAGAGGGATGGAGATGTGGCTCAATTCCCAGAATACTTGTCTAGCCTAGAATTTCACAAAGCCCCAGATTGAAACTCCAGCACAGTGGTCCCTGCCTATAACCCAGCACTGGGGAGGTAGAATCGGGAGCTCAGGGGCTGAAGGTGTCTTTTTTCTCACATAGAGAACCAAGACCACCCTGGGTTACATGAAGAAAAGGAAGGGGAGGGAAGGGAAGAGATGGGGAGAAGGAAAGGGAAAAGTAAACAGCAAAACCTACCTTGTTCTTTATTGCCAAAAATCCTTTGATGATGCTTTCAGTGTTCAGTAATTTCCACATTGCATTAATGTGTTTTTCAGTCTATCCTTCAAATGGCAGTTCTGATTATTTAAGAAACTATGTGTGCACTAGGACTTGACCAAAGAAGGTTTTACATGCATTCATACTCTAACATAATGCTTTTCATGTATGGAAAGGGTTGAAACATTTGTTACTTATTTGTGACTTCAGTGTACTAGAGTTCTTCTGTGTGAACCTCAGTTGGTATTACATACACACATTAATCACTTTCATAGTCCTGACCCAGAAGGAAGATCCACAGCTCCCCCTCTGCAGTAAGGGATGAGAAGATAGATGAAGTCTTGTCTAGGCAGGAGTCAGATTTGTTGTAAACACATTGCAATTTGTGCAGTGTCCTATCTGTTACCTGAGGACACACTAGTGTAGTGGTTCAAAGCACTCACTACCTGTAATGAAGTTTGCTTTTTTTTAACCACCCAATTCTATCCTCATATCAATATTATGGTGAACCAACAGAATATAATCAAAATATGGTGTCTCTGAAGGCCATCTTAAGTTATTGTCACAAACAATGGTAGTCATGTATTTTTAATCCACATTAGAAATTAAAAATAGCTCTGAGACGTTCTTTTCTAAAAGTACACACCTACAGCCTGGAGAACTTGAAAGTCGGGTTTTTTACTAGACTAAGAAAAT